GCGGAGCGCGCAGCCCCCGGGAGGGGTCCAGGGGCGACGCCATCCGCAGCAAACCCGCGAGAACTCGAAACCGCCTGGGCGTCCCCGCTTGCTGCGTGTTCTCGATGCATTTCCAAGCAGACCCGCCTGTACCGGCAGGACCCATGGGTCCTCTCCTGCCTCTCTGAGCCAGCCCAGATGCCAGGGACCCCTCAGATTCAGCCCAGCCGCCACCCTGCCCTTCAGAATCGCCCTGGCCCCAGGGCAGACCCTAAAACATCTGAGTCGAGCTGCACCCCTATCCAGCTGTGTAGAACTTGTGTCATGCTTGCGAGCACACACTCTGCGTGTGCTCCGGTGTGCAGACTGCTGCCCCAGCTCTCAGCGCGCAGATTCCTGGGCCCCAACTCGGGCACAGGTCCCTATACAGGCCCTACCCACACTCCCGTCCTATCCTGAACATTCCAGCGGGGGCGGGAGCCCACCCCTAGAGAGCTAACTGATGAAAATAAATGCTGCCAATATGTCGGGAACAAGTCAGTACGTGGGTATGGGCGATCACAGCATGAGAGTGAATTCCATGCAAATGTCTACCTGTGTGTGGGTGGGCATGAGTAAAAGTCATCCATCACCTGTGCTCGCATTCTAGCTAGACATGCATAACTGGACTCTTTGTCCATTTCTTCGTGGCCATGTGCACCTTGGCTCACTCTGCTGTGAGACACCCTCTGGCCCCCACATATACCTGGGGAGAGCACCTAGGCTCTTGGCAAAGAGGCAAAACTTAGGTGGCCAGTCTGGCCTTCTGCTGCACCAGGCAGCCGCCAGCCCCCCCAGCACTCCCCACTGGTGTTCTGGGGCAAGCACCCTCCTCCTCCCCACTGCAGCCTCCTTGGACTTTCTCCTCCCTGTTCCCAGCCCAGCCCCTTTCAGTGCCACGTTTTGGGCACTACTCTGATTCTGGGGCTCCAGCAGGAAGGGGAGAAACCCTGGCTGTCCTCCTGCAGTTCAGTGTGGTGGCGGGAGGAGGGTGTCAAAACTGCCTTCTCTGCGGAAGCAAGTGCCCATTTGAGGAAGAGACCTCTGGAAGGGTTTTGGAGAATGTGTGAACCAAAGGAATGAGTAAATTGAGGTAGGAGAATGGAGGGAGGTGTTTCGAAGGGGTCAGTCTGGCCCTGGACCGGGGCCCCAGGGGGCAGGAGGTCCATGGAGGGGTAAGATGCCCCACACCACACACGCACGCGCGCGCGGGCGCGCGCGAGAGAGAGACAGAAAAGAATACTTCCCTGCCTCAGAAGCCCCTGAAGACAACTGGACCCCTGTAGGTGCAGTCACTCGCCCGTGGAGCCATGCCCAGGTGCGCACGGACGCCCCTTGCCCTGGCAGACACCCTTTGCATACGCAGACCCGCGCGCCGCCGACACACCTCGGAGATCCCGGAGCGCGCCCAGCGCTCAGGGCTCAGCGGCAGGTGCCTCGCCGCGCAGACTCGCCGGGCGCG